TTAGGGGGAAAAAAAAAAGGCTTGAAGAACTAAAGATGTGGGCCAGGCACGGTGGCTCACACCTGTAATCCTAGCTCTCTGGGAGGCCGACGCAGGTGGATCGTTTGAGCTCAGGAGTTCAAAAGCAGCCTGAGCAAGAGTGAGACCCTGTCTCTACTAAAAATAGAAAGAAATTAATTGGACAACTAAAAATATACATTAGCCGGGCATGGTGGCACATGCCTGTAGTCCCAGCTACTCGGGAGGCTGAGGCAGGAGGATCACTTGAGCCCAGGAGTTTGAGGTTGCTATGAGCTAGGCTGATACCACATCACTGTAGCCCAGGCAACAGAGTAAGACTCTGAATAAAAAAAAAAAAAAAAAAGAAAAAGATTGTGAAAAAGTCGAAGATATCACCGCGCCTGGCCAAGATAGCACTATTTTAACAGTGGTTTATAACTCTACGTTCTCTACATGACTTAAGAAACTTTATTACTCTACTTTTGTTTTCCACGTGATTTAAGAAACTTATTATTCTAAAGGCTAGTAATTTCAACTTATCTCCCCTAAATCCAGTAAAATAAATTTTAAAAAGCTAGCATTATTGTAACTTTGGTTTGTACATCCACATTTTGTTTTCTATATAATTTAAGAGACTAATGTATTTAAAAGGACTATTAATTTATGTTTTGGGGCACACAATGTATAAAGATGTAATTTAGGAACATCACCAACTAAAACACGTAGGGATAGAACTGTGAAAGAACAGTTTTGGTATGTTATGGATGTTATGCTGGTGTAAATTCAAATTAGACTGTTAGAACTTTAGGATGTTAAATGCAATCCCTGTGGTAAACACAAAGAAAATAGCTATAAAATATACACAAAAGGAAATAAGAAAGGAATTTAACCATTTAACTATCAAAAATCAACTAAACACAAAAGAAGACAGTAATACAGGAAATTGGAAACAAAAAGCTATAAGGCATACAGATAACAAATAGCAAAATAACTAAAGTCCCTCCTTATCACTAATTACTTTAAATGTAAATGAATTAAATTCTTCAATCAAAAGACACAGAATGAATAAAACACTCCAGCTATATGTTGTTTACAGGAAACTCACTTTAGATCCAAAGACACAAACAGATTAAAAGTGAAATGATGGGGAAAAAAATATTCCATGCAAATATCAATAGTAACCAAAGAGAATGGGGGGTGGGGACTATATTATTAGTACCAGACAAAATAGACTTTAAATTTAAAAAAGGTTACCAGAGACAAAGAAGAACATAATATATTAATTAAAGGTTCAATATAGTAAGATAAAACAATTACAAACATTTATGTACCACAAATTAAATCTCAGATTTTTAAAGATATTATGGGACAAAGCAAAAGCAGAGCTAGAAGAGAAATGTATAGCTATAAACACATTAAAAAGCAAGAAAGATCTCAAATCAGCAACCTAACTTTACAACTTAAGGAACTAGAAAAAGAACAAACTAAACTCAAAGCTAGCAAAAGGAAGTAAATAATAAAGATGAGACTTTAAGGAAAACAGAGAGTAGAAAACCATAGAGAAAAATCAATGAAACCAAA